ATTACATGCTGACGTACTTTCCTCTGTGCTCTTAGTACAATGTAGGATCACTATTCGGCCAAAATATTTGTGACCTGGCATCACGTAGCAGCTATCCTACGTTTTTACCACGGCTCTAAGTAAAGGCGCCATGTCGGAAATGTCAAAATCATGTCGAAATTATGTCAGAACCATATTTGGACCATGTTGGGACTATTTTTGGATCATGTAGGGACCATTTAAGAACTGTGTCAAAACCGTATCGGGATTATGTCGAAACCATGTCCGGATTATTTTGGAATCGTGATCAGGTACTGACCATGTTATGTCAGAACCATGCTCGGATTATGTCGTAACCTTGTCGGGATTATGTTGGAATTATGCTGGGACCATGTCAGTACCTGATCGAAATTATGTCAGAACCATGCTTTTGGATCATGTTCTGACCCTTTTAAGAACTGTGTCAAAACCTTGTCGGGATTATGTCTAAACATTGTCAGGATTATTTTGGAATCATGTTGGGGCCATATCAGTACCTGATAGAAATTATGTCAGAATCATGCTTGGATTATGTCGGAACCTTGTTGGGATTATGTCAGAACCTTGTTGGGATTATGTCAGAACCTTGTCGGGATTATGTTACGAGCCTTGTCGGGATTATGTTACGAGCCTTGTCGGGATTATGTTACGAGCCTTGTCGGGATTATTTTAGAGCCTTGTCCGGATTATGTTAGAGCCTTGTCCGGATTATGTCAGAATTATGTTCGGATTATTTTGGAATCATGTCAGAACCGTGTCAGTACCTGATCGAGATTATGTCAGAGCCATGCTTGGATTATGCCAGAACCTTGTCAGGATTATGCCAGAATTATGTCGGAACCTTGTCGGGATTATGTCAGAATCTTGTCAGGATTATGCCAGGATTATGTCGGAACCTTGTGATTATGTTGGAACCTTGTCGAGATTATGTTGGAGCCATATCCGGATTATTTTGGAATCATGTTGGGACCATGTCAGTACGTGATCGAGATTATGTCAGGACCATGCTTGGATTATGTCGGAACCTTGTCTGGGTTACGTCAGAACCATGTCTGGACCATTTGGGGACAGCTTTAACTCTAAAATTTGCCGAATACCATCGCTTGATTAACATCCTAACTTATAAAGCCAAAGTATTTCTGCACAACAGAAGCTCCGCCCCTTTTAAGGCACAAGTTCTTTTTGGGCATCGCCCTCAACGGTTRTGTCTGCCACACCTTTTCTTTCCATACTTCCTGTCCATCTCCACCATGCTCAACGACGAGGCTAGTGCACCCGGTGCTGCTCCATTTCCTGCATCCAAAGTGTGAATCCTGAATTTTGCTCAGGCTCTTTAAACAGAATATGTTAAACAAAAATAAGSGTTTTTTGATATGAACTAGTTTAAAGCCCAGTTCTAACTTTTAATATTAGAAAATGAAAACTAACAAAAGAGTATTTTTTTTAATGTTTGTTCATTGATGTTTGGTAAAAACCTCTGAAGGCTTTTGGTTTACATCTGGATTAATCCAGATTAAATTGTTCTCTGCTCTTGTTCATGCTTCAAACATCTTGATGTGATGATTTTAGCCGACTGTTTCCTCAAGTTCTTGAAACAAACGATTAAATGGTCCTGACTTTTATTTTTATTTTTTCCTTTACAGTTTTACCTGCACAACCACCTGTCCTTCATCCTGTACTTCCACAGAGAGAAGGTGGAGGAGGAGGAGGTTCACAACTACAGAGTCGTGCGTTTCGAGGTCATTCCTCAAAGCGTCAAAGTGGAAGGTTGGTGTTAACGCCATTTCAGACCCGTGGTTCCTGTAAACAGTTTCCCACCAACTCGTTGACGGAAACATTGTTTATTTTTGAATGTTCAGACCTTAAGGCATCAGAAACCGACAAAACGTGCACCTTGCCCGATGTCAGCGGCTCTGCGCCTCTGGAAATCGACCCGAAGAGAGAGAACGAGGTTCTGTTCACCTACTCCGTCCACTGGGTGGTCAGTATCTGCTGCTGCCGTCGTCTGAACTGAAAACTGTTATTTTACTGAATAAAAGAAAATTTAGAAACCTGCAAACTGTGCCTGAGAAGACCTGGTTTAAAAAAACCTGAAGAACTTCAAATGATTGTTCTTCAGTGAACAAATCAAGCAGCTAAAGAAGTTATTTAAGGTGTTTTAATCTGGTAAACAGACCTGGAGGGACGATGGTAAACCAATTTGGGCTTCTGTCTTCAGTCTGTTTGATGAAATTTGCTGAACCTGAGTTATTAAAGCTAAAAAAGATGAACACAAGCTCAAAGCTTCAATAAAAGACTAGCTAAATGTTTTAAACATGTTAGCAAAAAGCCAAAATCAGCAAAACTGTAGGTAAAATCGAGCAACCAGAATAGTGCCTGGAAGCTGAAATTAGTAAAATGTTAAAGTAGCAAGTTTTTTTTAAAATAGCAAAAAATTTACTGAATTTAGCAAAAATTAACTTAAAACCAAAAGTAGCAAAAATGCTAGCTCAAAGCCACAAGTAGCAAATGTTTAGCTAAGAGGTAAAATAAAAAAGGCTAGCCTAATGTGGCAAAGCACTAGTTACAAGCTAAAAGTAGTAAAGTGCTAAATGTTAAAGTAGCAAGTTTTTTTTAAATAGCAAAAAAATTTGCTGAATTTAGCAAAAACTAACTTCAAACCAAAAGCAGCAAAAATTTAACTAAGATGTAAAAGTATAAAAAGAGAAGTCGTAAAATGCTAGATAAATGTAGCATCAAGTTTCTGAAGGTACAGAAGAGATCTTAGTGTTTTTATGGGGAAAACATTTGTAAATAATGTAAATATTTCAAAAAGTATCAAAGTTATAGATACAGTTATAAAACCGTGTGAATGCTGACTCAGCATTAACAAACTATAAAATAGAATAAAATTTCATAGAAAACAGTTGYGATTTAATTTATGCTGGAAGTGACTGCGGCCCAGTTTGTTTTTCAGCAAACATCAGGTGTAATCAGAGCTAAKGGTGGTTGAACCAAAATAAATGATTTCTCTGGCCTGACTGTGACTTGGTTTGATGATAGTTGAGTCGTGATGTCTGCTGTGTGCAGGAGAGCGAGGTGAAGTGGGCGTCTCGATGGGACACCTACCTGACGATGAGCGACGTCCAGATTCACTGGTTCTCCATCGTCAACTCGGTGGTGGTCGTCTTCTTCCTGTCTGGTACGTCTACCATCTTTTTACACCAAGAACAGCTTTATGAGCCAAAGGTTTTCATAAAGGACTTCCAAGACTTTGTTGTTATGGCTAATTAATAAGACGTCTTCACCACTGTTCCTTGTGGACCAGTGTCATACGTGGTTAAAAAGTAGAGCAGGGRGTCATCTGCATAACGTTGAAGATGGATACCAAATCAGTGGAAAATATAACTTAATGGAAGAAAAAAAAGGGACCCGAGGACGGAGCCTTGGGGCACTCCATTAGAGACTGGGAACTGAAAGATTGAAGATTAGTGCTCTATCAAGTCTTATAAGGCAACAAAACTTTAAAACCAATCAGTGAGACGAGTTCAAGCTGTGGAAAGGTGAACTTTCAGGAACGTATTTTTGTGCAAAATTAGCTTGAGCTGTCAAAAGATTTTATTTTTCACAAAAATAAGTACGATTTATTGTGTTAATCTGACACCAGTTTTTTTTTTTACATTTACATTTCTTTATTCTCTTCTCTCTCAGGTATTCTTAGTATGATCATCATCAGAACTTTGCGGAAGGACATTGCAAACTACAACAGAGAGGACGACATTGTAAGAAAATACAACCTGAACTAATTTTTCAGAGTAAAAGCAGATCATTTTAGTTTTAAAACCCCAGACACTGTCTCATGGTGATGTTCAGATCAGAACAATTTCACTAAAACGTTTTTTTTATTTGCGTCTAACCAGGAGGACACCATGGAGGAGTCTGGTTGGAAGAACGTCCATGGAGACGTCTTCAGACCGCCTCAGTATCCCATGATCCTCAGCTCCCTGCTGGGCTCCGGGATCCAGCTCTTCTGCATGGTTTTAATCGTCATCTGTGAGTTTTTCTGTTTGAAGTACTTACTAACGGGAAATTMCAAGTTTCTACAAAATGCTTCACAACACGGAAACAAAAAATTCTCTTCAGCTCTTTTCCTGTTTGTCTGGTAGTCGTCGCCATGTTGGGGATGTTGTCTCCGTCCAGCAGAGGAGCCCTGATGACCACTTCCTGTTTCCTCTTCATGTTCATGGGGTAAGAGACTTCCTGTAACAGCGGGCTGATTTTAAATTCGGTTTCTTCAGGTTTAAAAGTCGTTTTGGGTGTTTGTCCTTCAGAGTGTTTGGGGGTTACTTTGCTGGCAGACTGTACCGCACACTGAAGGGCCACCGGTGGAGGAAAGGAGCCTTTTGTGTGAGTTTTATTTTTTTTTAAATAAAATCATCTGATTTAGGAGTTTATTCTAATGTTTAGCGTCGTTAATGTTGAGTTTTGGTTTTTTCTAACATTTAACGTTGTTAATCTTGAGTTTTGGTTTTTTTCTAATGTTTAACATCATTAATCTTGAGTTTTGGTTTATTCTAACTTTTAATGCCGTTAATCTTGAGTTTTGGTTTATTCTAACATTCAACGTTGTTAATCTTGAGTTTTGTTTATTCTAATGTTTAATGCCGTTAATCTTGAGTTTTGGTTTATTCTAACATTTAACGTTGTTAATCTTGAGTTTTGGTTTATTCTAACATTTAACATTGTTAAAGTTGAGTTTTGGTTTATTCTAACATTTAACATCGTTAATTTTGAGTTTTGGTTTATTCTAACATTTAACGTAGTTAATTTTGAGTTTTGGTTTATTCTAACATTTAACGTAGTTAATTTTGAGTTTTGGTTTATTCTAATATTTAACGTAGTTAATCTTGAGTTTTGGTTTATTGTAACGTTTAACGTCATTAATCTTGAGTTTTGGTTTATTCTAACGTTTAACGTCATTAATCTTGAGTTTTGGTTTATTCTAACATTTAACATTGTTAGAGTTGAGTTTTGGTTTATTCTAACATTTAATGCCGTTAATCTTGAGTTTTGGTTTATTCTAACATTTAACATCATTAATCTTGAGTTTTGGTTTATTCTAACCGTTAATCTTGAGTTTTGGTTTATTCTAACATTTAACATCATTAATCTTGAGTTTTGGTTTATTCTCCTCTGCAGACGGCGACTTTATATCCAGGAGTCGTTTTCGCGATCTGCTTCGTCTTGAACTGTTTCATCTGGGGCGAACACTCCTCCGGAGCGGTGAGTTTCAACGTGTAGGACTCMGCTGCAGAACGCAGAAAGGGGCGGGGTCAGTTCAGTGTCAGACCCATACCATATTTGGCACCATTGTACTCTGGAACTAAAGGGGAGAATGACTTGAAGTGTAGCTCCAGAAAACAGTTTAATTAGTGATGTTCAAACTATCAGRTGACAGCTGGTAAAGAAYTACAGAAGTATTTAGCTAATGTTTATTTACTTACTTTATTTATAGGCAGCTGCTTGTTGTTAAAGTTTTTTGTTCCACATTAAATGAAAAGATCTACATTTTAAACCTTTGGTTTAAGAAAACTAAAACACACTGTTTTCCTGTTTTTGGAGAAAGAAATGAAAACCATCGGTTTATACTGACGTCAAATTTACTTTCCAGATTTTCTTTYTTCACTGTTTATAGTTTTGCTAATAAAGATTTCATAAAAAAGTAAAAATAAAAATAGACTTATCTGTTTTTGTTTTTCATTGTTTTTTTTTTAACAATGTTCAGATAATTTGTTAAACTGAGGAATAATCTGATAGTTTAGTCCAGGACTCTTCAACTAAACTGCTCCAGGGACCAACAGCTCAGGGACCAAACATCCAGCAATTAAAGTCATTATGTAAATAAACCAAGTATTACAAAGATCTGTTACCTTTGAAATA